ACGATCCGTATACACAAGACAAGGAATTTAATAAAGCATAAACAAATCGAATTAAGGTCTTTCCTTACCATATATAGCGTATTATGCGAAATTCCCCAGAGTTCTAAACATCGTGCGAACAAAAAAAAAGTAAACGTTATTTTACTATATAATAACATCAAGTCTTAAATAAATTCAAATCGCACAGCCATGCATGGTTTTCAAAATCATGTGTGGAGAGTCAAACACAATTTCCAAAAGATCCATTCATCTTATCATCTATAAACACGTACTTATACGTRCAAGGTCGGGAGGACACCCAAACCGAATTGAACCCAGAGATTACAACTACGGATAACGAGAAACTCAAAATCGGCATTTAACTTTGAGACGATTTCGTGYACACAAAAATTTGACCTGATGGATTGTGTGACTATATCAGACTTTTTCTATGATTTATACTTCTAAGCCAAGTTGCAGCCAATCTGACGATCAAACCATGCATATTTTTTATGACAGCTGGCATTTGTTTAGTACCTAAAACTGCTTTTAACTAAGTTAATATCTTGAAACTTACATAATATCATGTCATGATATTGAAACAGAATATAATATATTGAAATATTGAAAAATTGGTGTAAAAAAAATAAATATTATTATATTATTGATTATATTCTATTTTTTTTCAAATTGTAATATCACAAAAATAACTTACAATCGAATAAAAATAAATTATAWAATATTAAATGGAATTTTAAATAAAAGAAAAAAAAACGTATATAAGTTAAAATTATTAGTACATATAACGTATATTATACCTAAGAAAATAATATATATTTTTACTTTTAAATCCATTTTAAAGCTCATTTAGTTTAATTAGTGAGGTGTTATTATCAAAGATACTGTATGAGCAATGAGCTTAATGAAAAGTAGTATTATATTATACCATTGAAATTTTGTGATGTCGACTGTGTATAAAATGAATACTTAAAAATTTGAAGAGCATATGTATATTTTAATATTACAGTTGAGAGACATGGCTGATTTTATAAAAATAATTACGACGAGAAGTATCAATTTGATAGAACTCTAATTAAATATAGCAACGTTACTTTTTAGTTAAGTACCTAAGTAAAAGCTACCAAATAATATCAACTGTTTTTATGTTAAAACAAATGTTAGTAAAATTCAAAATATTTATTAATATTCACTACTAATTCCRTGAATAAATTTGAGAGAAGTCGATTTTAAGATGAAATTTCAAGCATTTCCAAAAATACCGAGGTTACCGAGGGGATCCAAAGACTTTAATAAAAATCAATATTACTAAAAAAATAAAGATAACAACGCTATATAGAATATATTATACAAGGAATAAGTGAATTATTTCGTATTAATATCGGGTAGATTTATTGGTTTAGGATTTTTGTTTACTTCAGTTATTTATAGAYAAAACATTGTCTACCATTAAATAAAGTCATACGGCCTAACGAAAGTATTATACTAGAATACTAATAAGTAGGTATACCGCGTATACGGTATACRCATTGTATGTACAATGTACATATTATGCATATATTATATACTTACATTTATTAATCTATTTTTACATTATATAGTAGCCATAGTAGGTATAGCAAAACCGTTTGAGAGCTTAAAATATAAAAATAATTCGGTGAAAGTATTTGAATRTTTTATGAACTGTAATTTGTAAATAATAATACTCTATATTACAGCAACTCAAGCTGAGTGCACGGCTGCGTAATTTTAATATCTATAATAAAATAATACCATGCTTGCACGAAGCGTTTATCGATCTGCTACGATAATTTAATATTTTCCTTTATTATATTATCAGAATAATTTTATGTGGCCATCGTTTTGATCTCTGTGTAGATGCTTAAACTTGAAGGTTTGTTACAAAAATATTTATTACAAACAATCGTGGGTGTTCTTTTTGAAATTAAAATCTGTTTCAWGTTTAAAACTCAGATTGATTTCACTTAAAATTACATTTTAAGAACCACGATTAATTTTTTTGCGTCAGACAATTTCTACAAATGTTGCAATTATGGATTTTAACCATTGCATTTTAAAATTTTATTTTACAGTTACAAAAATTCGATCATTCTGGATCTCACTTAACATGCATATGGTATATTCATGTGTTTATAGAGAAATATTATTATATTAAAAATTTAAAAATATATAACATCTATGACGACCAATATTGAACATTGTAGATACACAATGATAATCATAAATGTATAAGTAGTTGTATAGTTGTATATTTGTTTATATGTGTATTAAAAATTAAAATGTATATTCTTGAAAGTTAAAACGGTTTGTATTGTTCAGATGATCTAAATCCTTGACCTGAATTTTTAAACATTGAGCATTGGCTTTACAGTACTACAGATTTGTTTCACAAAAAGATTAATAAGTGGAAAATGAAATACCATCAATAACGGTATTGATACTATAAAATCATTAAAGAATAAAATATGAATGGTCATAAAGATTTAAAACTTGTTTCGCTGAAYAAAATTAAAACACGGGGTAAAAATATGCTTTCAGGAATATTTAACTTTAGGCAATTTTATATAAAACCAAAAATATGTATACAGGGTGCTTCACTAACCATCCTCGTCAATTTTTYTTATTCAATAATACAGTCATTCAATAAATGATTTTTGAATTATCAAATATACTTAAATACTATATTTTCAAGCTCTTGAGATTTMTCTGTACTACTAAAAGAGCGTCCATCGAAGATACAAACGTCTATTTTTGAAATAGGAACCACTATTTCACTGTAAATTATTTAGCTAGTAATTTTTCTGAAAATCAAAATTTAAACAAACAGTTTAAACTTTAAACTCTGTGTACTAAAGTGCATCAATAGGCACATGATAATGGGTTCAAAAGATATTGTATAATGGTTATGATTATTATAAAATGTTAGTAATTAATATTAATCCATTATCATTTATACAAATTATAAATTGTATAATTTGTAAAGATGACCAATTTTTATAAACATTTAAATAATACTCTTACATCTRTTTCGTATTTTTGTACAACTATTTTTAAGTAGATACTAATTAGATGTGTATTTGAAAACTCTAAAATTAAAATTTGAATAAACWAATTATTAAAAGAAAAATAAGGGTGAACATTTTTGGTGAATCATCCTGTATATACTATATATGTTTAAATGCCTTATTAATCAATTGTTCAAATAAAAACTAAGCTCTTAATTTAAATACCTTGACCCGTCAATCGATATTGAAATATCGTTTTAAATTATATTTTACCAATTTTAGTTGAGTACATACTCAGACAGTGAATTAATAAATTACACATACAATAACACGAGTACAAACTTTAAACACAAACGTCTTTGTAACTACAATGCATTATATGATGTATACTAAAATATKTAAAATGCCAAAATTGAGGTTTAATGTTTGACAGCCTAATAAGTATTGTAAAAATATAACTTGAATGCACGATTTAAATCATCCAACTAATTTTTGGAAAGTTAAACCTGCAACATCTGAACAAAATCGTTTTACTTGCCATGAATAGAAAGCAGGTTTAAAATATCATTATGTTACCACTTATAACATTCTTAGCTTCAAAATCCTTTCATTAATAAGCTTATTTAAAATGTGTTATTGTGTATGAGTTTATCAAATTTTCAAAGCTGTTAGTGAAAGCGAATTTTTGTGTTCATAATAATGGATTAACGAAGAACATATTCGAAAAACGTGACATTGTTTTCACTAAAGTCAAAGTTGAAAAGGAAGTATTTCTAAAGACTTTAACTTCAATTAATTGGTTTAATCACGACGTAAGAACATCCTAAACTTTTGTGAACCACTAACTATAATTTAAAAAACAATTTTAATACACGCACAAATATGATTAATGTATTTAACGCCATTATATATATATTTATAATATATACAATATTTATACAATATATTGTATAGCATAATAATAATAATAATAATAATAGCGCAATATTGTTATCTTTGACTGTCAAAATAAAAATGTAGTACATAATAAACTGTTGCATTTTATTTTATATTTATTCAATTATTCGAAAAAAAAACTYWTAATTTTTACAATTAMGTGTTTATTTTATTCTAATTATTGGAATGAAGAATTAATTATTGATGATGGTAAAATAAAAATATATTTCTATTTTTAAATGAACTCATTTTTATTTTTTTCATACAACCAAAAATCATGTATTGATATTACTTTGATATTTTTTCTACTTAATAAATTTACCACCCTTTTACAAAAAAATGTAATAAGATCAGTAACACCAGTATATAAGCTTGGTTTTGGAGAATCGTCAGGAGGTTCTATTTCAACAGTTCAACACAGCTTTGGTTTAGGTCGATTTTAAGCGCAACAATTTAATATAAAATGCGTTTATTTGTAACAATGTAACATGACAACAGACCACAAAGACAAAATACAGCTGCACTGATTCGATCGAATCGAGATTAATTTCACAACACCTGGTGTCTTCTTAAGGCCAACAAGGATTAATGTTTCATAATATGAATTCGATATCCGATATTATATACTCACTAATTGTTTACCAACAATATTACACATTTATAATATATACTATTATATTGATTAATCTTAGTTCGAAATAAAGTATAAGTAATCAATTACCGTTAATTCTTTAAGAAAATCTGACTTTTTAAATTTTCTCACTTCATCAACAACTTTTTTAAATTGTATATTTATCAATATTCTAATAAATTATTTATTAGTTTTCATTAACAACCGCAAATATTAGTTTATTTGAATTTGAAAGTACGATAAAATATATATTAAAATTAAAATACAATCATTWATAAATAATAGCTATACTTTTAAATAATATGCTTCAGTGTGTTTAATATGAATTTAGGAATACCACTCTAATTGTACGTTGTACGTAATACTTACAATTAATATTGTAAGATTTGAATATTTTTAAAATTACTTACGACGTAGTTGGTTGTTTATTGGTATTATCTTCTGGCGGAGACGCAGGAGTAGAAGTAGGGCTATTCTCTGCCGGATTCTGACGACTACTAGCACTATTCAGCTTGGTTGTCACTGAAAAAAAGTGGTTTTTAACTCATTATTAATTTTCACCACCCGATGTAAAAAACTAACGTTGAAAGTAGGTAATAATAATATTTATCAACTTAAAAAAAAAAATTATAATTTTAGAACACTCTTTGTGAGAAGAGCAAATATATATATTTTTTTTCTGAACTTATTTTAAGTGCTAAATCAACATAAGTAAAGTTATTTAAAACCACATTGTTTTTTAATAATCCAACTGTCGAAATAATACCGTCAATGCAGTGACATTGTGCCTCTGAGACGCCGAGAGGTTCCGAGTTGGAGGCGGCACAGCCACGACCTTAGAACACAAGCTTTTCCTATCTTATTTCTATATGTATTCAATGTACAAACACAAACATTTGTTAAGGTACGGTTTCCGTTGCGCGAACCACATCACAAGCACAGACCATATGACTGCTGATGATATACACAGTGCGTCCCATAAGTTTTGAGATAACCATTMTAAGATTAATACTAGTATCTAGATAATTATGAAATTCTGGGAAGTTCTTACGATAACATCTAAAAACGTTTAGGATAGTTTCTGTAAAACAATTGTACGTGCTAAGCCTACTTTGTGGAAAGATCGGTCTTTTTTCTTGCTGCACAATAACGCT